GTTTGTTTCTGGTGTTTTACGTCCACTTCCACCTAAGGTGATATCGTAGACAACGATGCAGCGTGGACGTACCCCTTATTTATTGAACCCACGAACCCCGTCTCGAATCCGGGTGCTAGGTACTTTGCGGTGGTATATCTCGATACGCCAACATAGAAGGTTAATGAAATTTGGCATGTTCACACCTTATGCATCTGTCGATTTGGTGAAATAAAGATCTTGGAGACACCAAAGCTAATTTAGAAATTATTGTGTGCGCAGCGAGCCTACCCTATCCCGATTCCCAAACATATTTAGTACGTTTACGGTAATATATCTCTAAAAGCCAGCATAGGAGGCTTCTGGATTTTTGTATTCTAGTAGTTTATTCATCCCTTGACTCTGTGAAATACAATCATTTTGCCACCAAGGCCAGTTTGAAGTGCTTTTTGGTGGAAGTACCCCTTGTTTATTGCACCCGCGAACCCCGCCTCGAATCCAGGTGCTGGGAACTTTGCGGTGGTATAACTCGATACGCCAAAATAGAAAGTAAATGAAAATTGGCCTGTTCATATCTTATCCATCTGTTGATTTGGTGAAATAAAGATCTTGGAGCCACCAAAGCTATTTTCTAAGTTATTGCGTGCGCGATGAGCCTACCCTAACCCGATCCCCTTAAGGTTTTAGTATGTTTCCGGTGATATTTCTCTAAAAGCCAACTTAGGAAGCTTCTGAAAATTTGTATTCTAGTAGTTTATTCATCCCTTGATTCCATGAAACAAAAAAACATTTTGCCACCAAAGCTGGTTTCGGTGCTATTTGATGCAGCGTGGACGTACCTCTGCGTGCTCAGTTAGCCTAGTGTGCGATATTTTAGTATGTTTACGGTATTAGTATGGTTTTTTTCATGGGGGGGGGGGGGCGGGGGGTCTATTACATATATACTTTGCATTAATATGTCGTTTTCTAATATAAAGGTAACAATTATCTTCGTGATAATTATATCTAAGTTTTTATTGGCGCTAGGAATATGTGTTAACTTCATTCCGTATCCAGGCGACCTTATGGCTTTATCGCGTAAATCATTAATTTCCGTCATAGTCCGGACTTATTTCCGTATGCAAATGACGTTCGTCGTAGATCCCATATAAGGTATATTTACAATGCAAGGGTCTATTATGCAAAATGCAGAATTGTAATGTGCAAAATAACTATTCTACTGTATTTTGTATTATTGAAAAGTGTATTCTGTATTTTAACACCGTGGCATTGGTATTGTTGAGCAATGGAAATTGCAAATTGTAAAACTAAAATACGTATTTTGAACTACATTTGCAGTTTGCACCGTGAACAATGAAATAGTATTGGTAACGTTATACTTCCATAAATCTAACAAGACAAATTAAAACGATATCCATAAACGTATGCCCGACGTTATTAGGTCAGTTGGTGCATAAACGTATACCCGACTTTATTAGGCCAGTTGATGCCTTAGAAAATGTCACTAAACCCTATTCTATAACTTCACCAATATATAGGAGAATTGATATCAGATCAGATAATATTTTATATATAAAACATGACAGTTTTTATTAAAGTTAATGAGGTTATACAGAGAAGGTTGATTAGATGAAACAGAACAAAATAATATTTTATATATAAAACATGATGACTTAGTGTTTTATTAAAGATAGGACAGTTATATTAGTTATACAATATCATTTTGTTTTTCAATATCTGTAGAATGTAATATTTATTTGAGACACCAGTCTTTAATTACAGATGAATATTAACTTTCTACACCAGGACTTATCAATTGTTTGAATGTCATCTGATCAACTTTTTCATTAACTGAAATTATCTTCTAATAAAACAACTTTTATCTACGCAGAGAGCCACGGTGGGTAAGTGAGTAAGTCGCTGGCTCCCTATCCTGGACGTCGCGTGTTCGATCCCTGCATTGGCTGGCGTGGTTTCCCCTTATCAGTGGTGCAGGACGGAGGGCCTGACAAAGACGATGAAAAAACGGAATATCTCATTATTAGCTCCAAACAGTCGTTTTTGTAGTCGTTAGGATGGGATGAAAACCCGAGGTCCCGGGTGTGCTTGTGAAAGATCTCTTGGCAGTTGGAAATCAATATGAGTAGACCATAGTGCCGCTGCTCGGACAAAATTTCCCTCATAGCCCACTATGTCGTATATCCGTCACCAGTAGCCCAGTCGGAGCAGAACAGTAGGACGTTAACCCCCATTTCATTTTTATCTCAGCAGACTCTTATTATTCCAGGGCATATCCCAAAAAAGTGATTAATCAGCGGACCAGATGATGGCAATTCTCGCTAGAGATTTCACAAACTGAGGAAGAGCAATAAATCGGAAAGTTACAAGAAGTCTCAGACTTGGAAACAGACACAAAGCTAAGTAACCAACATTAATCTGCGATATTAGTCGAAAACACTAAGTATAGGCCTACTTTGAGAAGTGTATATTATGCTTCTATTTAATAGAATTAAAAGTAAAATGTTCATTTAGTCTTTGTGTGTGCAAAAAATGTAAACCGGATAAAGAACCACATTACAAAATACTATACTCATTTTTGAATATGACGGCCATTCAGAGATCTGTATTTGAAGTAGATAGTTCTCTGTGTGGAGAATGCCTTTCACTTCCGACATCTGAATACTACGGCATTCTGTGATCTCAATCATCATTTTCATGTCCGGATTTATTTCCTTGTAGTAAATTAAAAATGTTTTGAGTAGTCCGTATTCTGAATATTCCGAATTACGACATCAATCGGGGGTCCAGTCACACGTTTTACGTTATCAGGCCTTCATCGCTGGGTGTTAACCGATAAGCAATCGCCAATCAATTCTGGGTGCGCTTAAACACGTGTCGGTCTTTGTTGATTACCTTGATAAATAAAATATCAAGTACTCTTTACGAGAGATTATAAAATTGAGTGTCTCACATCAAATACAGCCACATGCTATAAATTGCCGAGATGAAGAATCATAAAGGAATATGCAAGGTCGCCCTTACTGCAACTGTCTGTATAGGCCACTTCAGGGTGACTTGAATTGAACATTGTCAGGGAAATTTAATTTTTGGCGGCTTACTGAATGGCTCCACATGAACATCCACTACAATAGTACCGTCGTCCGTCAGATCAACCTCATATTTATTAAAGAGAGTGAGGTTTTTTTTAACCCTTTGTATCTTTCTCTCGAAATACATTTTTTTTTTAAACATTTTGATGTTTTTTTTGAATGCACTATTTTCTACTTTGCGGATGGTATACTCTTAAACTGCAGCCCTGACCCAGTGGAACTTGAATCAGCAGTGTCGGGCTTAAAGGAGCTAAATCGCTAATATTTGGGACCTAGAAATGTAATGTAATCTGATTGTATATAAACTGATTTATATTCAATTGTTTCCTTTTTGACTCTAATATCAAATCAGTTATGTCCAGCGAAATACAGCATGTGTCTCAACCCCGTAGCAATTTCTAGCGTCTGGTTATTCCAGTCTATTAAGCAGACTCTCCAGTTGAATATGTCTAGCCTCGTTCTTTCTGGTCACTTGTTGCAAATGACGCTAAAACGCACTATGGTACACGATTCGTGTACCAATGGTAAAATGTTTATTTTGTCTTAATTATTGGATATCAGAAGCCTGCCTTTTCCTGGTAAGATCACAACATCAATGTTGATTTGAATTGACAAATAATTCGTATTTTCAACGTGTAAGACTTTGGATGATATTGAGTTAGAGACTTAGCTACTTTAAGAGGCGCACAAGGTAGGAACCCTTTTGCGATTTTGGATGGGGGTATTGCGAATAGTCTCAATAACTGCAGATGGAGGCAAGGAGGATACAACCTCATCAGGTAGTGAAGGAGTGAGCTGAGACGTCTTTTATACGCCCACATTTTCATGTGGACTAATATTGTCGTCGCCCACAATCTGTTTGTTGACACTCTACAGGTCACAATTGTTTATCCGATTTTGACGAAACTTGAAATATAGGTCTATCCCCCAACGATCTCGGTTTCTTTCGATAATGGTATGTATCGGACCATAACTTCATGGATTATGGCCCATTTTCCATAAGTTACGGTCAGATACATGCCAATATCGACAGGGACCGAGATCTTTCGGGGATAGACCTATATTTCAAGTTTCGTCTAATTCAGATAAATTTTGTGACCTGTAGAGTGCCCACAAACAAATTGTGGACGGGCGGACAGGGGCGACGACAATATGGGCATATTAAAAACCATTGATATATACTCTTCAAACAAAGTAGGGGATATTGAAATGCAAATACCTATGCAGCTTGCGATATGATAAATGGTAATGTACATTTGACATGCTTTGAGAGTATGTTCACTGATGAAGAATTTATCGCCCCAACAGAACAACTGAGCTGCACATGCGACACGCAATAGCGCCATACACGTGGGAGGGGTTCATTGTCAAGTGTGACACTTCAAAGAAGAGTTGATGAAAACTGCCGCGTGCTGGTTATCTATCCATGTTTGCTTTCCTATCGGTTCTTGCATAAGATTTACTTTTTAGCATATCTTTGCTTTAATGTGTTACGTTTAATTAGATCTAATTTGATCGGGAGACGTGTTCGTCGACGTCAACGGACAACACTACAAGAATTGGCCATGGCACTGCAAGATGAGTGGGTCAGATTGTCCCAAATCGTGACTGGACGGTTAATTAGGAGCATACCACGACGAATTGCTGAATGTCTGAGGATTAGTGGAGCAATTACCCATTAATAAGACAAAAATCAAAATCTTCCATTTTCACTTTTGACAGTGTATCTCTTTGCGAGTGAAATGGGGCCGTCAGATAAGCTGCCCATATGAACTGTTTATGTTCATGTGTAGGCAATTGGCCTGTTATTAACATACATTTCCGCAGTTTTGTATTGTTTCTGAATATCCCCTACTTTTTTTGAAGAGTATATTATACCAACAATCACTAGATCTTCATATAGGCCCAATCTTACAAAATCTATCTTTAATGTGCTTTTCACTATAGTTGGATTAAAATTTCAACTTGCTTTTCAGATAACCCAACAGAAAATGTAGACAAATGCAAGCTTGTGAGTCATTTAGATTCATTCTAGCTGAAAAATAAAGAAAGAAGGGAAAACGTCTTGTCTAGAGCTACAAGATATAGTTTAAAGTTACAATTTCATATTTTCAAAGAAAGTCAAACCATAATTATTTCTATGTCTTTTGCTCAAAAGGTTGTCAACTCACTATTATACGATCATAGGTTATCTTTCTCACACATAAAAATCTTCACACCGGAAATAATAACACAATTACCTCTCTTGTTTTCTATTCTCCACCATGGAACAGCTATCTTCAAACGTTTAAATCTGAAGTTGAAAATGATATTTTTGCCAATTTCTCAACTAGCAATAGTGAATTATAGGATTATTCTTTAACAAGGTAGGACTGTTTATAGATACCATCTATGAAAATGAAAATGGAAGTTTCAATGTTTTCATTCGATGAGTTTGATCTTCTAAACGAAGATACGCAGTTGACTTTAAGGCAGGCATCTACATTATTAGATCCTAGAAGTGAAGAATTAGCACCAGTGAATATTACTGAGTCTGAACAGAAAATCTTCATTCGATGAAGATAATTCTGATATTAAAAACTGTAACCAGCGGCTGCCAGGCAGGATACGCCCACATTTTCGAGAGATGGATAGAGAACAAGCTGAAAAGAAAGTGATTTTTCCTACAATCAAGGGCCATAATTCAGGAAATTACAATTCGATATACGCAAATATCGAAAGGAACCGAGATCTTTGGGTTATAAACTTACATTTCAAGTTTCAACAAAATCGGATACAAATTGTGACCTCTATAGGGTCCACAACCTTGATATTCCATATTTTTACGCAATTTGCGAACGAGGGGCGGCCATTCTGTCTGTCAGTTTTGGGCCGATTTTCAAACTCAGTCGTCCTTAGGGTGTAACGGTGATATAATAATACATTTTTTTTAAATCGGATAAAAATTATGACCTCTATAGGGTCCACAAGCTAAAAACGCGATTTTTCGTACAATCAGGGGACATAATTCAGTAAGTTACGGTCCAATATGCGCGAATATCGAAATGAACCAAGATCTTTGGGTTATAAACTTATATTTCAAGTTTCAACAAAATCGGATAAAAATTGTAACCTCTATAGGGTCCACAACCTTGATATACCATATTTTTACGCTATTTGAGAACGAAGGGCAGCCATTTTATCTGTCAGTTTTTGGCCGATCTTCACGAAATTCGAACCCAGTTTTCCTTAGGGTATAACGGTGATATAATAATATGTTTTTTTAAATCGGATAATAATTATGACCTCTATAGGGTCCACAAGCCAAAAAACGTGATTTTTCGTACAATCAGGGGCCATAATTCAGGAAGTTACGGTCCGATATGCGCGAATATCGAAAGGAATTGAGATCTTTGGGTTATAAACTTACATTTCAAGTTTCAACAAAATCTGATAAAAATTGTGACCTCTATAGAGTCCACCATCTTGATATACCATATTTTTACGCTATTTGAGAACGAACGGCGGCCATTTTGTCTGTCAGTTTTGGGCCGATTTTCGAACTCAACCGTCCTTAGGGTTTAACGGTGATATAATAAAACTTATTTTTAAATCGGATAAAAATTATGACCTCTATAGGGCCCACAAGCTAAAAACGCGATTTGTCATACAATAAGGGGCCATAATTCATGAAGTTATGATCCGATATGCGTGAATATCGACAGGAACCGAGATCTTTGTGTTATAAACTTACATTTCAAGTTTCAACAAAATCGGATAAAAATTGTGTCCTCTATAGGGTCCACAACCTTGATATACCATATTTTTACACTATTTGAGAACGAAGGGCGGCCATTTTGTCTGTCAGTTTTGGGCCAATTTTCACGAAATTTGAACTAAGCCGTCCTTAGGGTGTAATGGTGATATATTAACACGTTTTTTTTTAAATCGGATAAAAATTATGACCGCTATAGGGTCCACAAGCCAAAAAACGCGTTTTTGCGTACAATCAGGGGCCATAATTCATGAAGTTACGGTCCGATATGCACTAATATCGAAAGGAACCAAGATCTTTGTGTTATAAACTTACATTTCAAGTTTCAACAAAATCGGATAACAATTGTGACCTCTATAGGGTCCACAACCTTGATATACCATATTTTTACGCTATTTGAGAACGAACGAACGGCGGCCATTTTGTCTGTCAGTTTTGGGCCAATTTTCACGAAATTCGAACTCAACCGTCCTTAGGGTTTAACGGTGATATAATAATACGGTTTTTTAAATCGGATAAAAATTATGACCTCTATAGGGTCCACAAGATAAAAAAAACGCGTTTTTACGTACAATCAGGGGCCATAATTCAGGAAGTTATGGTCCGATATGCGCGAATATCGAAAGGAACCGAGATCTTTGGGTTGTAAACTTACATTTCAAGTTTCAACAAAATCGGATAAAGATTGTGACCTCTACAGTGTTCACAAGCCAGAAACGTGATTTTTCGTACAATCAGGGACCATAATCCATGAAGTTACGGTCCGATATATGCAAATATCGATAGGAACCGAGATCTTAGGATGATAAACCTATATTTCAAATTTCATTGAAATCGGATAAAAATTGTGACCTGTAGACTGTTCACAAGATGTGGCTGAGCAGGCGATTCCAAAAACCACAACTACACCAAAACGTTTCAATAAACCATGGTATAACGAAGATTGCAAATCCGCTCTGAAAGAGCGTGATCGTATCCTGAGACGACTTAAGAACCACCCTTCCATGGAGAATATTGCGGCATACCAAATGGTCTGGGCGAAGGCTCATAGAACCATACGTCAAGCAAAGAAATCTTCATGGCAAGGTTACGTCTCAAGGATCAATTCCCGTACCACACCTAAGTCGGTATGGGATAGGATTAAAGGTAAAAGTAGTGCATTATCATTTAACCATCTAAATGTTGATAATACCACCTTAACAACATTTCCTGATATTACTAATTCTCTGGCCAGTACAATTCCATTTAATTCATCATCCAATTTCTCCTCCGATGCCTTTAGAGCATTAAACAACAACAGGAGAAAATGCGACTTAATTTCAAGTTCCGCAATCATGAATGCTACAATGATACCTTTTCCATTGCAGAACTTCGGGATTCGCTAAAGCGAGCTCGGGATACTGCAACTGGTCCAGATGAAATACACTACCAACTTCTAAAACATTTACCTTTTTCCACTCTTTTAATTTTATTGGATCTTTTAAACCGAATTTGGGTTGATGGGAATTTTCCCCCCTAGTGGCATGACCCACAATAATTCCCATCCCTAAACCGGGTAAAGATCATACGAATCCTAACAACTATCGTCCGATCGCTTTAACTAGCTGTATTTGCAAAACCATGGAGAGATTGATCAATCGAAGGCTTGTTTGGTACCTTGAGTCCAACAACCTCATTACTGACCTCCAACGTGGATTTCGGTCCCAAATGAGCAGTCTTGATCATCTCGTTCGATTTGAAACGTTCGTCAGGGACGCTTTCATCCAGAAGCAACATTTAGTTGCAATATTTTTCGATCTGGAGAAAGCTTATGATACTACATGGAAACATGGTATCATGCGCGACCTCCATAACCTCAGCGTACGAGGTCGCTTACCTATCTTCATTAAAAATTTCCTGGAAGATAGGTCATTTAAGGTACGACTGGGATCAATATTCTCTGACCCATTTCCCCAGGAAATGGGGGTTCCTCAGGGAAGCATATTATCTCCTACTCGTTTTGCTATAAAAATTAATACTATCCCAGCGTGCCTTAAACCAGGTACAAACGGCGCTCTTTATGTTGATGACTTTCAGATGTGCTATGGTTCTACCGACATGCGGATAATCGAACGTAAGTTGCAGCTTTGTTTGAATTCACTTCAACAATGGGCAACCGTAAATGGATTTCGTTTTTGGAAATCCAAGACTGTCTGCATGGATTTCTGTCAGAAACGAGGTTTGCATCCCGATCCAGAACTTTACTTGGATGGCACTCGGCTTCCAGTTGTGGATGAAGCCAAATTTCTGGGGCTGATATTTGATAATAAATTATCATTTATTCTCCACATTAAAAACCTAAAAAAGAAATGTCTGAAAGCCCTCAACATATTGAGAGTCTTATCAAATACTGACTGGGGAGCAGAACGTAAGGTCTTGCTCAGATTATATCGAGCATTAATAAGATCCAAACTCGATTATGGGTGTGTTGTGTATGGGTCTGACAGCGAGTCTTATCTCAAAGAGCTCGACACCATACACAACCAGGGACTTATAATCAGTTTATCGAGGAGATAAGGTGATTCCAACAAGCACCTACATCCTCACATTCAATCGTCCCGACATACCAAAGACTCCCAAGGCAGGTTATTTAAACATACCTGTGGATTCTTATATATCCAATCCTCTTCGTTGCTACAAGTGCCAAAAGTTTGGACACAGTAAAACCGTCTGCAGAGGTAAAGACACCTGCGCTCGTTGTGGTCATGATGGCCATGAGAGTGCTACCTGCCAGGCAGAATTTTGCTGTGTTAACTGCAAGGGAAAGCACTTTGCTTATTCCCGTGAGTGTCCAATATGGCAAAAAGAGAAAAGAATCCAACAGGTCATGTCTGAACGAAAAATACCATATTTTGATGCTAGAAAGCAGGTAGATTTAACTGCACCTTTCCCTATTGCACCACAAGGGAAATCATTTGCAAGTGCAGTTAAAGTTTCTACCAAATCCATCTGCGTTCAGACAGATTTAACCTGGCCTGATAAGCAGGAACTTAAGACTTTGATGACATCAGATCAAAATAAAGGGGCTTCGAGCTCTTCTCATTTATGTGAGAGCTCGATTCAAACAATTTTGTCCTTGCCTGGCGAGGGTTCATCTTCCTTGCTCCAAACTGAAGTTATTGGGACCAATCTCAATTCTTCTGTCCAGAATGGCAAGGAACCGCCTTCCTTGGATAAGTCGAAAGCTGCAACTCCTGATCCCAGGTCCACTGGGTCAGGATCGCAGTCAACGGCTATCCCACCCTCACAGGAAAAAATATATATTTCTTCAAGACAAAGAAAATTAGCAAAGTTGCGTGAGAAGGGTAAAAAGGGTTCACAAGACCGTATTATCCATTTCACTAAATATGGGGTTGATCTGATGGACGGTATTACCGTAGAGGGGGTCCGTAATGACCCCATCGGCGGTAAACTGCCACCAATAAATTATCCCTGACAATGGTAAATTCCATTATTCAATGGAATTATCGTGGTTTAAAACCCAATTTTAATGAAGTTCATCTTTTAATTCAAAAGTATAATCCTTTAGCTATTTGTTTACAGGAAACTTTTTTGAGGAATTCTGACACTTTGTCTTTTAGACAATTTGTTGGTTATCATCATCACGCAGTTGATGAC